CACACACACACACACACACACACACATTTGGGAGCTAACGAAGTGGAGATAGTGAGTAGAGTACATTTTCAATGAAAGAAGGAAAGGAGAAAGAAACCTCTGGGGCAACAATTCTGTGAGATAGCTATCACAGAAGCTCAGTAAGGCTAAGCAGACAGTCTTAGTGGAGTTGTTAAATGCTAGGGAGTATGGTTTACCAAGATCTGGATTCCAGCACAAATCTGTCATTCCTGTCTCTGAGGTCATGACCATGCTATTTAACTGTCTCAGTTTTCCTCGCTTTTACCTGGGGGCTGTCATAGTACCTACCTCATAAGGTTGATACGAGGTTTAAAAGAGATGATGGGTTTAAAGCACTTAGCACAGTGCTGGCACGTAGTAAGTACTCAATGCACACTCAATTTTTAATTTTTAGTGATATCATTATTATCAGTGGTGGTTAGTTACTGGGTAAATGGTGAAGATAGCTCTCCCCTCACTACGCTGTTAATGAGAATGTTTTAAACTACTTTTAAGGTGAGTGGAGCCAAAATATTGTGTATTAAATGAATACTTTACATGGCTATGGGTTAAACTTCACTTTTAAAGGTTTAAAAATTCAAGGAAGCCAAACTATGATTTACAAATAACACACAAACACCTAGATATCAGAGTCATTACTGGGAAAATTGGAATCTGTCTAAATGATATCTCAGCGGTATTATTAAATAATTTTTATGGTTATAACTTCATGGGAAAAAATGGTGTAACCTATTAGTAACTCCATCATCATGTCACCAAAGTATGTTAGACTCAGTCACCTCATTTATACAATACTAACAACACCATTTGATATTATTCATTGATATGATGAGGCAATTCATAAAATAAGAAATAAAAGTGGCCAATATACATATGAAAAGTTGTGACATCACTATGATCAGAGAATTGTAAATGAGAGGAGGTTATTTTGGGCTATCAGCTTGGCAAAGATTAAAAAGATGAGCTAATATCTTGGTGCTATTGAGGGCGTGGTGAAACTGGCACTCTCACACATTGTTAGTAGGAGTATAAATTAGTACAACATTTCTAGTGTCCAATTTGGCAATACAGGTAAAAAAATTCTTAATATGGTCTTTAACTCAGCAACTCTGCTTCTTGTATTTTGTCAAGGAAATATAATTAGAGAAATACACAAACATGCTTGTATATGCACGCTCACTGAGGTGTTGTTTATAACAAAAAATTGGAAACCACCTAAATGCCTACCAGTAGAGAAATGCTTAAATAAATTATGGGAGAGCTATACTCTGGGACTCTATGAACCTATTATAAAGCATTAGATAGATCTATTTGTTCTGGCATGGAAAGATGTCCATGATCCATATTGGATTCCATTTTTACATTAAAAAAGTGTATGCATAGAAAAAAATCTAGTTATATATCTATATATCGAACTTTTTAAAAGCAGCTTTATTGTGGTATAATTTACATAAAATTCACCCATTGTAAGTACACAATCCAATGGTTTTTAGTAAATGTATACAGTTGTGCAATCATTACATACTACAATAGAGTTTTAGAACTTTTTTGCTACTCCCATAGTTCTCTCGTGCTCATAGGCTTAACTTTAACAGTTAGGTTGGGGGTGAAGTTGGGTAAAGGGAAGGAAGGATGGGATAATTACAGATAACTTCCTAGTTTATCATTTCTGTATTATTTGAATTAATTTACAACAAGGATATACTATCTTTTTTTTTTTTCTTAAGATTTTATTGGGGAATTGGGGGAGAGGAACGACATTGGGGAATCAGGGAAGGAGAACAGACAAGTTGCTGTCCTTTTGTCCTTCAGTCTAGTTATGGAGGACGTTGCTTCACTGGCCCATGTTGGTATTATCATTGTGTTCTTCCCAGGTGAGGCAGATCAGTCGCTGGCCACTGTACGGCGACTCACAGCAGCCCAGCTCCAGGTCGAGCTGTTGTTCACCATCTTAGCTGTAGAGGGTAGTGTCACTGGCCCTCATGTGGGATCCAAACCGGGACCCTGCTGCTCAGAGCTGGAGTCCCAAGCCAACTTTTAACCAACGCACCACTCGGCTGGCCCAGGATATACTATCTTTTAATTTGGGAAAACAGTGAAGATTTCTCTTTTTGAAAAGAACAAAAAAAAAGAAACAGACTTAAACCCTTTGTGACCCAAATTTTCTTCTAGTAATTTGCCTAAGGAAATAACAAATATGTGGAAAAGGATTTGTGAACAAAGATATTTATCAATGTTTTATCTAAAATAAAGTTCTATGGGCCGGCCAAGTGGCGCGATGGTTAAGAGCTCGCTTGGGATGCCAGAGGGCCCCGGTTCGGATCCCACATATGAGGGCCAGTGACACTGCCCTCTACAGCTAAGATGCTGGACAACAGCTCAACCTGG